TGCGAATCCGCCTGGGCCGCACCATGCGTCCTGGTACCGAAGTCTAATGGTACCTATAGGTTTTGTGTAGACTATCGCAAGCTAAATGCGGTTACCAAGACAGATGCATACCCCATGCCGCGTATCGACGAGCTGTTACAGTCGACCAAGAAGGGCTGTGTGATGAGCTCGCTAGACCTCCGTAGTGGGTACTGGCAGGTCAGTACGGCGGATAGGGATAAAACGGCCTTCGTTACACCTTTTGGGACCTACCGCTTCACGCGTATGCCGTTCGGCCTGAAGGGGTCTCCGGCAACGTTCCAGCGTCTCATAGATCGCTTCCGGTCAGGACCTTCACTTGGTGGTAGGCATATTCTAGGTTATCTTGATGACCTATTAGTAATTTCAGAGGACTTTGAGTCCCATTTGTCTGATTTACGTGCGGTATTTGAGCGTCTTCGGATGTTCAAGTTAAGAGCCAACCGTGAAAAATGCGTGTTCGCTAGGGACCGGCTCAAATACCTAGGTCACGTAATATCCAACGACGGTATATCTCCAGACGAAGATAAGGTGCGTGCTGTCCTAGAGATGAGAGAACCGACTAATCTCCAGCAACTTCGTACCTTCCTGCAAACTTGCTCTTGGTTTAGGAAGTTCATACCAGAGTTTGCGAAGGTAGCTGAACCGCTTACGCGCCTTACCAAAAAGTCACAGATCTGGCAATGGGGAGATGATCAGGCCAAAGCCTTCGTACATCTTAAGTCCCTTCTGGCTTCACCACCCATTCTTGTTCAGCCAGACTACTCGAAGCCATTTATCCTTAGGACGGATGCCAGCGATTTTGCCCTAGGAGCAGCTTTACTCCAGGGGGGAGTCTCCACAGGATGAACACCCAATCGAGTACGCGAGCCGTCTCCTCACATCAGCCGAGAAAAATTATACCACTACGGAGCGGGAGGCGCTAGCAGTTGTGTGGGCCGTGGAAAGATTCCGTGGCTATATTGATGGTCACCAGGTAGTGGTCAGAAGTGATCATCAACCCCTGAAGTGGCTTTTTTCTGTCAAATCGCCTAGTGGTAGGCTTGTTCGTTGGGCTTTAAAGCTACAATCATTTGGTCTCCAAATGGAATACACCCCTGGGAAGGTTAACGTGCTAGCTGAGGCACTCAGCCGTCCAGTCATCGATAGCACTTTGACGGAATGTGGTGTCTGCCCCGTGTCTGTGGATGTTCCACGTTGGGATGCTACATCAACCCGTGAAGCCCAGCTGGCTGATCCAGAAGTAGCCAAAATCCTTAAGGACTTGGAAAGTTCTGATGAGCTGTCAGTTCATCGGTGGTCGGAGAGGGGGTACCTGATAAACCAAGGTGTATTGTACCGGTACGTGGACAACACCGATACTGAGGAGCCTCAGCTGGTAGTACCTGAGAGTTTGCGGGGCAAAGTTATGTTTGAGTGTCATGACTCGCCAACCGCCGCTCATGGAGGTATTCAACGGACTTTGCATCGTATATCCCAGCAGTTCTATTTCCCTGGTATGAGACGCTATATCACCGATTACCTGAAGACCTGCACTGAGTGTCAGCGGTATAAGTCTTCCAACTTGAAACCGCCCGGCTTACTCCAGACTCCGGTACCGGCTCAACGATTCGAGGTCATCGCCGTCGATCTCTTTGGACCGTTACCCAAAGGACCTCAGGGTGAAAGGTGGATTTTGATAGTGGAGGACACTGCTAGTAAGTGGGTCGAACTGTTTGCTCTAACCGAGGCCACAGCCGAAAACTGTGCGAAAACTCTTGTTGGTGAAATCTTTATGAGGTATGGACTTCCTAGGCGGATGATCTCCGATAACGGTGTCCAGTTTGTGGCTGATGTTATGCAGAAGGCTCTGTTTGTCCTAGGCGTAAAACAGAACCTGGTGCCTTTGTATCACCCAGAAGCGAATCCTGTGGAACGGAAGAATCGGGACCTCAAATCTCACCTCGCCATTCTCGTGGAGGGTAACCATAAGCAATGGTCTGAGATATTGCCTTTCGTCCGATTTGCTCTTAATAGCTCAGTCACCGTTTCTACGGGTACCACTCCGGCTTTCTTGACATTTGGACGTGAGCTCCGGTCTCCTTTGTCGGTTCAGGCTGATCTACGAGCGGTCACCGAGTCTGAAAACTTTGTCCCTCAGATTACGCCTTACCTCTTGAAGCTTGCTGACTCTCTCTCGGAAGCTAAGGAGAACATTGAACATCAACAGGATCTTCGTAAGCTCCAAGCCGATTCCGATCGCCGTGGTTCGGATCCGTTACAAGAAGGTGATCTCGTACTCATGAAGACACATGTCCTGAGTAATGCTGCTAAGGGTGTTACTTCTAAATTCGTCCCGAAGCAGGATGGTCCGTATGTGATCTCCAAACAGGTCAGTCCCACTACCTACCTTCTAACTTCGCAGAAGACTGGTGAAGGCGTTGGTAGGTATCATGTGTCGGATCTGTGTAAATACCATGACAGGGGTGGTGAAGAATGTCCGGAGCCGGTTGCTCCTAAGCGTCGTAGGGGTCGTCCGCGTAAGGATCGCAGCTAGGCGCTAACTAATAGTTTGACCATTCGTGATGTTCCCTCTTGGTCAAAAGGGGGAGTATGTAGCGCGCCGATACTTACCTATGTCACCCGATGTCTCTCTATCCCCTCTCGTACGGTGCCCCACCTGCGCCACGGGATCGCGCCACTCGTCCGAACCTTTGACTGCCGATACAAGCAGTATGCTAGCCGACTAGCTCTGAGCTATACATATGTGTATTATTGTTTGATCCCGCGCTCGCGCTGCGTTCGCGAGACGCCGTTTATGTACTTACGTGTCAAATATTGCCTATACTGTTACTATTTAAGTGAATAAACTGTGCATTCGGATTTTTTGTAACGTTTCATTTATCATGCGTGACCAGTGAAAGTTATAAAGATTGTTATAATTGCAATTAAAATAGTTCTTATGAATTGTTATTCACATAGTTCTAATAATTGTAATTTTATTCAAATAATTGTTGTAAATTTACTATGATTTTGCATGCCCGTAATGAGGGTGAAATATGTCCTGTGCTATAAGTTACTTTAACATCTTGTGTACCAACCATATTTCTTGCAAATAAATGATTTATGATATGATTTATGTTGACTTTAAAATTGGAGTTTTCCATAAAACGAACCTGTTTTTGAAAAAGAATTTAAATTTGTGGCACTGGCAACATGTAAAAACTCATACCGCTTCCGTTAAATGGCTATATCACTTTAGTACTTTTTAAAGTGACTGTCACACCACGCGACTTAACGACATCTTAAAGTTAAGCAGCGTTTGAGTGTTTTGCCGTTAAAGACGTAAAATATTCTGGGTATCCGGGTATTGGGTATCCGGCGCCCAGCAGCAACATTAAAAGTGCAAAATGTCTAGTTCTGCCATCGTGACGTTTAAGGAAACTCATCCTTACAACTGGAAAGGTTCTAAACAATCAAGACTACATCATGGCGGAGTGGGTTAGCATTGCGTTGCGACACAGAATTTGCCTGTCCTACAAATAATTGGCCCGGGTTTTGTTTCAATTTGTGTATGTAAACTGCATCAAGGATAAAGGAGTAACGTTTTCTTTTTCAAAATAAAAAAAGACATAATGATTTCTTATATTTACGCGAACACTGTACATTGTTTACTGACTACTTTTAGGGATTTTATCGCGTTTTATTTATTTTATTTTTAATACCAGACGTTTCGGGTGCTTTCCAGCACCCATGGTCACGAGGGACTGAGGTGACTGACGTCCCGATGTCAAAGTTAACCCGGAGTTACCTTCAGCTTTTTTTAATTATTGTCTTTGGTCCGATCTACGCAGAATGAACTAACTGTGTTTTTAAAGTCTTGCAGTGGTATGCTTGGGTTTAGTTTCAATTTTATTAATTATAGCCTTGTTGTCTCTCCTCGACGATGGAAATAATACTATATGTTAGTATCGCTTCTTATCTCGGTGGCGTTACATAAGTTAAAAGTAACTTTAAAATTTCTGAACACATCCTCTAGTTGCACCTCATTTGCGCCTCAATCTGTCAATTCGGTTTTTATGTCGGACGGCGTTACTACGTATTAATACATTCAGCAGCGAATTAAGTTTTTTAGTTGGGGTATTTTCCTTTAATTCCTTATTAAAATGAAAAGAAAACGTGACAAAGACAGAAGTGACGACAAGATAAAAAAGAAAATAAGAAAACTTATGAAAAAAGTTAAAAAACTTTCAAAACAGCAGGGCCGTAAGTGCTTATTATTGCATATATAAAACTGTGTTAACCCGTAGCATTATCAAATAATACCTAGACATACAATCATTATTATTAACGTGGTTTCCTACCCAAAATCAGCCGAGACGAAATACTAACTTGTCACTACCTGTTCTCCGTTAAGACGCATAACGCATTACAACGCCATTTTGTTTTATTGTTTATTGTGTTTTCACCTCTCCGAGCAGGAAGTCCGTTTAATACATTGAACAATATTATACCTCATCTCATATAAAATAGAATTGTTGAAAGTAATATAATAGTAAATAGGAACCTATCTATAGAATATATATTTGAGTTGGTCTATTAAACAGGTTGCATTATAAGAAGTAACCAAATTAATTTTTTTTTAAGTGTGTAATTCATTGGTAGCTATTGCTGTAGAGCATAGGACCATATATAATCTTATTGGACCAAGCTATTGTCGTTGCTACGGCTGTAGAGCCTAGATCTACAAAAACAAAAAGATTTTACATTATGCCATTGGTTACTACGGTTGCAGAGCCTAGAACCCATGGTCACCCTAAAGTCAATATCAGGTTGCTACGGCTGCAGAGCCTAGAACCATAAAACATACATAAAGTCTAATATTAGACATGGCCCCTAAATTTTCATAAAGAATGTATAAACATTAAGGTAATTTGTGTTCTGTTTCTTAACAGTGACATCTGAATCCGATTCAGAGGTATCTTGGCCAGAAGAAATGGAAAATGATAATCTTAATAGAAAAAGAAAAACCTGAGGAATCTGAATCACCTCAATCGGAATTGCAGATTCTGGGAAATCTAAATAGCCAGGCCTCTACTAGCGAATCAGGAAATCAGCCTGATAAAGTTCCAGAGGTACAGGATTTGGATGCTGAGGCATTAGCAGTTCTGGGTGAAATAAACATAGAACAGGAAAAAGGTCCACCTCTTCACCCTGAAATTGCAAACAGATGGACACCCATTCTGAGCAAAGGCCTAAAAAAGGAAGATAAGAGAGAGCTTATGCAAAAATATATGCCATTCGAAAATGTGCCAAGTTTAATAGCACCAACTTTGAACCCTGAATGTATCTCAGCAATTTCAGCATCTATGCTAAAAAGGGATACAATTATTAAAGAAAAACAAAAACAAATTGCTGCAGTATTGACTGCTATTGGCTCTGGTTTAGAGTCCATATTAAAGAACGGAGACAAAATAGAAATAATCCGTAATATAAATGATTCATCCAAACTATTATGTGATTATTTTCAATCTGAGACCAACAATAGAAAAATTTTAATTACTAATGCAGTAAATCACAACCTTAAAGAGACTCTAAAGGGTGACTCAGATATGTTCTTATTCGGAACAAACTTAGCAGAAAGAATAAAGAATGCAAAAATTATACAGAGATCTGGAAAAGATCTGAAAGAAAAACAGGAGCGACTTAAGGGGCCAACAAAGACTTTAAACTGGCGGGGCCCTCCTCAGTTGAGCACCAGGCTGGGGGGGGAAGAGAGTAACCAAGCCCAAAAACAAGCAGCAGCAACAACAACAGAAACCACTGCCTCCTTGACGATATTAGAGGTTCCTACACCACAGGTAGGAAGACTGCAATATAAATATATATATAAATAATTGGCAAAGATTGACTAATGAACCAGTCATACTCAATTGGGTTAGGGGATATTTAATTCCATTTGAACACATACCTATACAAAATAATTTTTCCTTAAATAGTAATTTTTCATTAACTGAGTTAAGTCAATTAAAAATAGAAATTAATAAGTTGTTGTCTATACAGGCTATAGAGACTTGTGACCCAGTGCATGACCAATTCTGTTCACCAATATTTTTAGTTAGAAAACCAAACGGGGACTTTAGATTTATTTTAAATCTAAAGGAACTCAATAAATTTGTTAAAATGGATCATTTCAAATTAGAGGACTATCGTACAGTATTAAAATTATTTAACAAAGATGATTATTTGGCAACAATTGATATTAAGGATGCATATTACATGATAAGTATTAAGTTAGATCATAGGAAATACCTAAGGTTTTATTTTAACAACAAACTCTATCAGTTTAATGTACTCCCTTTCGGCCTTTGTACAGCACCTTATGTTTTTACAAAGATTTTAAAACCAATCAATGCCAGGTTAAGAGAAGATGGGTTACGCCTGGTTCAATATTTAGATGACTATATACTTATTTGTAGTAATTACAATGAATGTGTTGAAAAGATACAGTTAACTCTAAAATTATTTACTAATTTAGGATTTATAGTCAATATTAATAAATGTAGTCTCACCCCCTCACACCAGTGCAAATTCTTAGGACTAGTTTTCAATACAGAAAACATGTCTATTTCTATAACAAGAGAAAAAAGAGAAAATTGCCTTCGCTTGATCAAAAAATTAAGTAGGAAACCATTATTTACTATAAGACTTTTAGCTCAGGTCTTAGGAACACTAGTATCTGTTTGTCCAGCAATTAAATATGGTATGTTATATACAAAACTGCTTGAGCGACATAAATACTTATCACTTTTAAAATATAATAATAACTATGAGGCACAAATTTCACTACCTAACCATTGCAAACAGGATTTGAAATGGTGGGCTGAAAAAAGTTAAATATTCTACAAGCCCAATAAGAAAGAGTGATTTTGTTTTAGAAATACACACTGATGCTTCCAACACGGGTTGGGGTGCCTCATGTGCTGGACAGACAGCTAGTGGGCCCTGGACAGAACAAGAATCAAAATTACATATCAATACTTTAGAATTAAAAGCTGCTTTCTTCGGGCTAAAGAGTTTCACAAAGAATCTAAAAAATATTGAAATATTGTTACGAATAGATAATACTACTGCAATAGCTTATATAAACAGGCTAGGTGGTATACAATACCCCCACTTGTATGATATTGCTAGGCAAATTTGGCAATGGTGTGAAGATGCTGGATTTTTGCATCATATATTAACACTAAAGATAATGTCACTGCTGATTTTCAATCAAGGAAGAATATTGGCCACACTGAGTGGGAGCTAGGGCAGATGTATTATAGGAAAATAGTGCAAACCTTCGGTACACCTGAAATAGATTTGTTTGCCTCTCGAACAAATGCTAAGTGCAAAAAGTATGTGTCGTGGCAACCAGACCCTAATGCAATCAATGTAGATTGTTTTACATTATGTTGGTCCCAACTTTTCTTCTACGCTTTTCCACCATTTTCACTAGTATTAAAAACTTTAGAAAAAATAATTTTAGACAAGGCGGAAGGCATAGTTGTTGTACCTTACTGGTCAACGCAGCCCTGGTTCCCACTGTTTAAAAAATTGTTGGTAAATGATTTTATTGTTTTCCAACCCAATAAAAAATTACTTACCCTGTGTAATTACAGATCACCGCACTCTCTTCACAAGAACCTATCTTTGATGGCAGGTCTGCTCTCCGCCAGAAATTTTTAAGCGCAGGCATTGGTGAGGAAGCCACCAACATTATGTTGAATTCAGTATCAGAAAATACACTTAGGCAGTACTTACCTTACCTCAGGGACTGGCTTATATACTGTTCATCTAACAATATTAGTATAAATACTGCTAATATTTCACAAATTATAACTTATCTCACAGTAAAGTTTGATGAAAGTATGTCTTATGGAAGCCTTAACTCCATAAGATCAGCCTTGTCGTTATTGATAGGTTCTCATATTGGAATAAATGATCAAATAAAAAGATTATTTAAAGTGTTTTCTATAGGTTGAGACAAAATAATCCCAAATATCAATTCACTTGGAATGTATCAGAAGTGTTCAATTACCTTGAGCTTCATCAGATGGATACGAAGGATGTAAAATTCCAAACAAAGAAAACAGCAATGCTGTTTGCTCTAGCAACAGGACAAAGAGCACAAACCTTAGCATCAGTGGAAATTGACAATATAAAAATAGAGAATGACAAAATTTGTATTACAATCTCCAAATTCTTAAAGACATCAGGCAGCCCTACAGACAGCAGCCATTGCTTTTATTACCTTTTTTTGATTTAAAACCTAATGTTTGTCCTGCTAGAGCAGTGATTAATTATTTGTTAACTGAACAAATAAGAGGCAACATAAAAAATTTATTTATTTCATTTAAGAAACCCTATAGAGGGGTATCAGTAAGTACAATCAGCAGATGGATAAAAGATATTTTAAAAGAAAGTGGTATAGATGTGAACATTGTTTTCTGCTCATAGCACAAGGCATGCTTCTACTTCAGCAGCATTCCATACGGGTGTATCAATAGATATTATAAGAAAATCAGCTGGTTGGACTGAAAATTCAATTGTTTTGCTAGATTCTATAATCGTCCTATTTTGAACAGTAAGGACACAATTTATGCTAATGCTGTTTTTAAAAATATTAATATTGATGACTAATTGTAATTATAATATCTATTAATAAGATAACTTCTTAACCTTTATTGTTACAATTTAATTATAATTAAAGTCTGATTCTGTTCTGAGACTTTGAACATCTAACATGTAGTATTATTTCCATCGTCGAGGAGAGACAACAAGGCTATAATTGAACAATCGAACGAGCTTACCTGTAAGCGAAGTTCGATTGTAATTATACCTTGTTGTCTCTCCGAAGACGATGGAACCCACCCATTCCCTATGAGACCAGGCTCAGTCCCAAATAGAATCAGACTTATGCTTTAAACTAAAATGAGTTGACAGATTGAGGCGCGAATGAGGTGCAACTAGAGGATGTGTTCAGAAATTTTAAAGTTACTTTTAACTTATGTAACGCCACCGAGATAAGAAGCGATACTAACATATAGTATTATTTCCATCGTCTTCGGAGAGACAACAAGGTATAATCTCAATCGAACTTCGCTTACAGGTAAGCTCGTTTGATTGTTCAATTATAGGATTCCAAGCAGGTGGTAGTACCCAGCCTCCTTCTCTATTGAAATTAAGATGTTTTTTAATTTCAATGGCCTCACGTATCGTCCTTGGTAGGAATCGATGTTCTTTCGCGAGGATTTGTGGTCTATCAAATCTGATGTAATGGTTGGGGCCATCTAGGATATGATCGCAAACTGCAGACTTCCCGGAACGTTGATGCTTTACGTCAGCTATGTGTTCTTTTACGCGGGTTCTAATTGATCTCTTTGTTTGCCCTATATATGAGAGACCACAGTCACAATCAAGCTTGTACACTCCTGCATCTTGTAGAGGAATGTGACACTTGACGGATGGTAAGAACTGACTAATCTTCGGCGGCTTGTAGAATGTTCTAATAGAAGCTCGCTTAAAGATGTAGCCAATCTTGTCTGTGACACCTCTGACATATGGTAGTACAGCAATGTAGTACAGTATTGAAACCATGGTCAGTTTTGATGTTCAGTCTCTATTTACATGCCTACCTGTTGAAGACTGCATCTCAATTATGACTAGGAAACTAGATAAAAATAACATGCCACCAAAATATGCAGTACCACTAAGACATTTCCTTACATCTGGCTATCTAATGTGGAAGGAAGGGTTTTACAAGCAAGTAGATGGTGTTGCGATGGGCTCACCTGTATCTCCCATTGTCGCTGATATGTTCATGGAAGACTTTGAGGAGAAAGCCCTCTTTACTGCATCTGTCACCTCAAGGTTCTACAAGCGGTACGTAGACGATACTTTCACAATTTTACCATCAGACAAAGTAACTGCATTTTTAGAACATCTTAATTCCATAAACTCTAAAATTCAATTTACTATGGAGTTAGAGGCAAATATTTCCTTAGCTTTCCTAGATGTGTTAGTCATCCGAAATCCTAATAACACCATTGGTCATACTGTGTATAGAAAAAAGACCCATACAAACCGATACTTAAATGGTGAATCTCACCACCATCCTCCACAGTTAGCTACCGTGGACAAATCTTTGTTACAGAGAGCACGAGGGATCTGTGACAGCAAACACCTGTACGCCGAGCTTCAGCATGTCAAGCAGGTTCTGCACGACAACAAGCTTCGGGTCCTGCGCCTCCGTCAAAGTGACCGAGTGAAGCTGGCCACAGTCGAGCGTGTGCCTGCCGTACTACCATATGTCAGAGGTGTCACAGACAAGAATGGCTACATCTTGAAGCGAGCTTCTATTAGAACATTCTACAAGCCGCCGAAGAAGATTAGTCAGTTCTTACCATCCGTCAAGTGTCACATTCCTCTACAAGATGCAGGAGTGTACAAGCTTGATTGTGACTGTGGTCTCTCATTTATAGGGCAAACAAAGAGATCAATTAGAACCCGCGCAAAAGAACACATAGCTGACGTAAAGCATCAATGTTCCGGGAAGTCTGCAGTTTGCGATCATATCCTAGATGGCCCCAACCATTACATCAGATTTGTAGACCACAAATCCTCGCGAAAGAACATCGATTCCTACCAACGATGATACGTGAGGCTATTGAAATTAAAAAAACATCTTAATTTCAATAGAGAAGGAGGCTGGGTACTACCACCTCCTTGGGATCCTATAATTAATAAAATTAAAACTAAACCCAAGCATACCACTGCAAGACTTTAAAACACAGTTAGTTCATTCTGCGTAGATCGGACCAAAGGCAATTAAAAAAGCTGAAGGTACTCCGGG